AACTCGCTAGTTATTACAGAAATTATTGAATTAATCTGAGGTGTAGAGTAATCAGTAGATAGTGTTTTGGAGGCAATGATTCCAGTGGCAGCTTCTGTGTAGCGTACCCAGCTCGGCTGCATATGTCATATTAGGATTTTACGTAGTTGTATGGTGGACCGCCATAGCTGCAACATGCCTTCGATGGATTCTCAAAACCTGTTGATCAGACTGTCAGCTTGAGGTCACAAGCACATGCGCTCCACACACATGTACTAAACGAAAGATCAATTCTCTTCAACAATGAAACCAGCACAAATTAAGAACTTGAATTTGCTTGATAAATTGTGTGGATCTATCTAGAATTTCGGAATGAGGCCATACCATATGTAGTAGCATTCGCGATGAGGTCATACTTGATGGAATACATGTCCACGTACACAATGGTGCTATTCTTCAATTCAGATTTAAGTTCTTCACATAGAATGCACAGCTGGTCATTAAATCGTGTTGCTGCATCATTGAGAGGTTTGAGGCAGCCATGCTGATCAAAATCACTAGCTTTTTGGTCGAAGGTAGCAAGTGTTTTTGGAAGGCAACCCAGAGGCCCCGTTACCTTTTGAAACTAGCTAGCACTGAGGAGCGAGGTCGGAATCGAGGGAACTGAAGAATTTGAACGACTAAACTAAAAGGCTTATATCCAGGTTGAGTGGCAGCACCACTACAAGCAAAATTGACTCAATTCTGAAATTTAACCCCATTGGTTCTATTTAAGGGGTCAAGCAACTTGTCTTCAAACTTTCTCCTGCAGTATACACAGCATATAGTTGAGAGAGGGGGCTGTTTGGTCAGTTGGTCACCGCAAACATTAGGCAGGTATAGTTTCTAGGTTCTGCAGGCGCAATTTTTCAACAAAAAAAAAAGTTCATAGAGATTGAGTAGCAGTTTTTTTTTTTTTTTCAATGTTAGGGTGATAATTCATGCAAATATAATTACGAAAAGCTTTTAAACGTAATATATTTAAGCCTATTATTCATGTGTTATATCTAAAATAATATAAATCTGACAAGTTTTATACTTAATATATTTAAATTCAGCTATGTGCTAAGCTTAAATTATCATAAATCTAATAAATTATCAAACTCAATATATTTAATTTCAGTTATATACAAACCAATACAATATAAATTTGATAAATTATCAAACCTAATTAACTTAGATCTAGCCATGTGCTAGTCAAAGACAAAATGAGTCTAATAAACTACTAGACTTGTTTTCCCTAAACTTAACTACACACTAAATCCAATAGATCTAAAGATTATTAAAGATTTATATAAGAACTATCAGGTTTTATTTTAAAACTATTGTTTGAAGACTATTAACATAAACTAATAAAAAATCATTTTTTTATATTTATAGATGTGTAAAAGGTTTATCAAAACCTTATCATATTTTTATTTCATTAATAATTTGTAAATGATATTTATATCTTATTAATAATATGTAAGAGATTTTTATCTCTTATTAATGTTTTTAGAAAAAAAAATAACTCTTCAATCTTTCCATTTCATTAAAAAAACAAGATTTTGGGATTATAAATACCCCTCAAATTATTCAAGTAAAAAATTATTTTTTTCTACTCTCGAAACATTCATAATTTAACTCTTAGAACATTTGTCTCTTAGAACATTTGTCATACAAAAACAAAAACAAAAACTCTTGCACTTGAAATTTAAATTTTTTATTTATTTATTACAATTTTCCTTTAAAGTTGACTTTATAATTAGAGGATTTTCTAATCTTATTAAAATAGATTACTTTGCAAATAGCATGACTTTTATTTATCATCAATTATATACTTTTTAAGCCATGAAAAATGAAATATTAATATAAAAATTTAATTAATTATTATTTAAATACCAAAAAAACCTCAATCCTCGACGTATTAGATTTTGGTATATTATAACATTTAAGAGATGTCCTAGATGAGCAGATAATAAAAGAGTGGACTATGAAACACTCACAAAATGATGAACAAGAAGAAATTAAAATTGTCTAGGGCATCAAACTAACTTGGTCTTGATTGTAAAATATTTGGACTAGATGTTCGAATGTTGTGCAATAGATGCCAATTTTGATGCGGCATATTAGCATCATTTTACGTTACATTCTGAAGAAAGTAGAAACTCCTTAAAGGTAAAAGATGGTTAACAAATGCCAAGGGCTTTGTTTTTTTTTTTTGGTAATGAAAGGCTTTGTTGATCTACTTACATATGAAATCAATGACCAATTGTCCATCGCATAATCGACCGGATGGCTGATTATTAAAGTATGTGAGTCCCTTAGGAATTCCAAACATCAAACCAAGTCCAGAATAATAAGCACCAGTGTCAGAATTGGAGTCACCAAAGGTGAATATTGCTGGATTTATGTAGCACTGACAGTTAATCGGAAGGGGAAAGAACCCCATAATTATAGGATCCCTGAGGAGGGAAAAATGAAGTGGAGATTTTATTAGATTTGCACTCATTTTGCTCTGTTTTGATTAGAATGACTATAAAACTGTGTTTTCTGAAGTGAAGTTGATCATAAAGGCATTGAAAGCTTCGCCATGGGTGAGAATTTGGACGCAACTGGTTTTCCTGCATAGGAACAGAAGCGTGCCAGGACAAAGACACTGCTGGTACAGTATTACTAGGGCATGATTCATTTTTTTGGTTTACTCGATGAGTGATGCTCATTACTCGACATGATCGGAGACCCGTGATGAAAACAGGCGACAATACACCAATACCAAGATGAAGAAGGGGATGACCTGCAAGTGAGATTCTGGCCTAGTGGTGGGAGGGGTTTGTCCCCTTCCTCCGCACCTGGGTTTGAATTTTACCATGCACGTTTGTCATTCCCGCGGTGCCTTACCTGTTCACTAGGCTTGCAGGATGTTCAGTTGGCCGTGAGAATTAATCGTGGTGCGCGTAAGCTGACCCGGACACCCCATGTAAATCAAAAAAAAAAAAAGAAAAAAAAGAAGAAGGAGATGACCTGGTTTTGTCCTCTAGTCAAACAGTCAATCACTAGGCCTCAAAACTAAATTCATCATAACCACTGAAAGGAACGAGATCAGTTGGCTTGTGAATGATTGCAAGATGGGCATTACGAAGAAATAAGGATCAAGAAATATACTACTCCGATAGTTACGGAAAAACTCTAGGACAGGCATGGGAAATAGTGTAAAGTATTGTTCCTCTTCCCTTCACATGCGAGCTTATACTGTCTATGGTCTTTGCCCAGTGTATTGGAAACCCAAATTATTACAAAAATAAAAGGAAAATGTCTGGAACATGGTAACAGACGGTAGTGCTATTATATAAAACAACATTACTTTAAAAACTAATCAATTAGAGTAAAAAAAACATTAACATTGAATTAAGAATTAAACCACGTGACACATTCTCGAAATCTTCAAGTACCAGTACTAATCTTAAACATGGGCCAGTGGTGGATAATTAATAAACTTAATAAAGAAGAACTTGGGGAAAGTGTGAAGAAGGGTGAGCTTCCTTCATCTTCTGGACGGACAGTAATTCTTGTTCCGAAATCTGCAAGGTACGTACGTTTCATCTCCTGCTGGTATTTCTTCAGTCGTCTCTCTTACTTAGTCTTCCCCGGTCCCTTAGCATGAAACTTATGACAAAGAGCTTTAAAGGCTTGTTTTTCAGTCACGATCCTTCCAAACTCATCTCTCCTATCAATGCGTTCTTCTTTTTCTCAAAGTTTTTTTTTCATATCATCATCATTGAACTTGCGTTTCTTGTTCTTATCCTGCAGGGGCAGCAAAGTGTAAATGAGAATAGATATTAATAGAATGAAAAAATTTATGAAGTGCACCTGCAAATCCCTTACCAATTGCACTTCACGGATACTAAAATTATCGTCATCCTTAACCTGCACCGACTGCTGCTGCTGCATCATAAGATTGTCTTCATTGTTGACGGTTGCTGCTGCATCGCCGAAAGATTTCATCATGCTTGTAGAGAAACTAAAACAAAAGAAGAAGATAATTTTTTTTCCTGAATGCTAGGAGGGAAATGAGAGATATTTCAATGTGGTTTCAGAAATTAAGCTTGTTGTATCGGGGAGAGAGATCAACAAGAAACCTTGCTTGGTATATTGCGACTTGAAAGAGGCATAAATAAATCCCCGGCCCAAAAACATAAATGCGGTGAGCGTGGATCGAACACGCGACCTTCAGATCTTCAGTCTGACGCTCTCCCAACTGAGCTATCCCCGCTGTGCGGTCGATGTATTGTTATGTAATTGTTACCCCATTATTTATTAAGTTCAACCCACATCGAAGGATTTCCAAGAAACTTTTATTGGGATATATAATGTATGTATGTTAGACAGAGGGAATTAACAGTTTCTCAACCATACGGTGCAAATGCAAAGGAGTGGAAGAGTGGACGAGAGAAACTAAATCACCATAAAATTTCTTTCAGAGGGTAGGAGGAGCGGCACTCCAAATGTAATTTCTTAATCGGAATAATTTTCTTTTCTATCTGGACATGATTTGCGTACGTAAAATCTAAACTCCCATCTAGCCTATGACGTGGGACATTATACATTTATTTATTTTATAAAAAGATAGGTGAATTGAGAGATTGACGTCGCAATAAAACGTGGTTAATAGAAAGAAAATATTGCGCTTTTTCATGCCCTTTTAAGAATTTTGAATTTAAATAAGTCTGATAGCTGTTACGCGAAGCCAAGCCCAGCCCCCGATCCCCGCACAAGCAATTTGAAGGGCAGAATTTCCAAGTGTCGGGATCAGAAAGTCCTGATCCCGAAACGAGAAACCCTTCTCCTATTTCCAAACAGGCAGCAATCTCCAACTAATGCAGGCCAGGCCACAACGTGGTTTAACGGCGTAACAAAAGCAACCCATAAACAGGCAACCAATTGGTAACAGTTAACGGCGTACTTGACAGTTAAAATTGAAAAAGGCCAAAAGGGAGAGGATCCCCGTTAAGTCCTATAAATACAAACAATTAGTCTCTTGGATCGTGTGCATATTTGCCGTTAAGGACTGCTCTTCGTCCTCATTTTATTTTCCCTTTGCTCTCTCTGCTGAGGTAGATCTCTCTCTCTCCCTCTCCCTCTCCTCTTTTGGCTCCTTGTCAGGCAAGTGCTATCCTCTTCTATGATCCCTATGTCCGGAACCCTAGATTCTGATTATTTGCTAAATTCATGTCACATTTTTCTCAATCGAATTGTTAAATTTCTGTGATTCGGATTTTATGTCTTTGATTTTGTCTGATATAAGATTTAGAGCGCGATTTGGTTTCGTAATGGCTTGATCTTAATTTTGATGTGATGCTGCCTCATGGATCTTGCTTTATATTATGCTTTTGTTTTTGCATGACCTGAAATCTTGTGATGATACCTTAGATTTGGATATCACTGGATGCAATACATCCTGTTTGGTACCTGATCTGTAGGAAATCAGGTCTAAATCCATGTCTAAGTTGTCTTCAGTTTAATTTATTATGTATTGAATAACTGAATTCTCTAGGTTTGTGTCGATTTATTTGACTCAATGTCTAGATAATCTCTGGGTTCATATCTAGTGTGTTGATATGATTCGTTTTTATTTAAAAATGTGCAATGTTTTAAATCAAGGTGATTGAGATCTATTTTCTGATAATGATGAGGAATTGCATTTGATTTAGCTATGGGAATTTACAATTAGTGAGTTGATTTTTGGATTGTTGTAATCGGCAGACGTGAGAAAATGGGGCTGTCTTTCACCAAGTTGTTTAGCAGACTGTTTGCTAAGAAGGAAATGCGTATTCTGATGGTGGGTCTTGATGCTGCTGGTAAGACAACCATTCTTTACAAGCTCAAGCTCGGTGAGATTGTCACAACCATTCCTACTATTGGTAAGTCTCACATTATTACGAGAAGATACTAATTACCTTGATTTTAAATTTATTATCCCGTATATATTCTCTATTGGCTTGGATCTGATGATGATGTTTGATCAGGATTCAATGTGGAGACTGTGGAGTATAAGAACATTAGCTTTACTGTTTGGGATGTCGGGGGTCAGGACAAGGTATGTGTGTCTTAATGAGTATGCATTTGGCCTTTTTATACTTTTGCATGAATGTCATTATCATTTTGGGGTGCAGTAGATGTAGAAACCTTTTATCTTTCACTAAATGGTGCTGAATGGGTTGGGTTTAATAATAAGGAAAGCCATGAAATATGTTTGCATTCTAGAACTTAAGCCTTCATGGTTTGAAATTTCTTCTTGAGTTATTGAATCTATGTACTTGAAAATGAGTGCTTATGGACGGTCTAGTGCTGTTTTGATTTTCCTCCATCAGCACTTAACATATTCATAAGCTAAATATGTTATGCCATTGTGTATTCTCTGCTGTTTCCTTTGATTATCAAGGAAAATGCTTTATTTGGTGGCTTACATTTGAGACACTCACTAGTGCTAGAGTTTTCCAGCTGTTCACCTATTCACTTGAAAACATGAGCAGCAGTATAACAATTCTTTTATGCTATACATTGTTTTTATAAATCTTATGCTTGATTATTAGGATAGTCAAATGCATGACCGTGGCCTCTGCCAAATTCTCCTAGTGATGCTTGCTTTCGCATCCTTGTGCCATTCCTTTTCTTGTTATGTCCAAATCATAAAAGCATAGACTGATTCGGATGCATTACAATCAGTCAAAAGATTTAAATATTCTATCGCTTAATTTATTTATTAGTTGATGACCTATTATTTGACTTCTCCAGATCCGCCCCTTGTGGAGACATTACTTCCAGAACACACAAGGACTTATCTTTGTGGTTGATAGCAACGACAGGGATCGTGTGGTTGAAGCCAGGGATGAGCTACACAGGATGTTGAATGAGGTAACACAATGCTTCAGATTTTCTTAGGACTAGCAAGGGTGGAACCATGAAAAGCTGCAGATTAAGCTTTACATTTGCGTGATTTTTCTGTGATAATAATACCTCCTGTTGTATTTACAGGATGAGTTGAGGGATGCTGTCCTTCTAGTGTTTGCAAACAAGCAAGACCTTCCAAATGCAATGAATGCTGCTGAGATAACTGATAAGCTTGGTCTCCACTCTCTTCGTCAGCGCCACTGGTAAGCTAACTTGTGACTGTCAGATGCCCTTATCCAGCAATCCACCATTCTCTTGTGAACAGACTTGTTTATATCATTCATTGCAGGTATATCCAGAGCACATGTGCCACTTCTGGTGAAGGGCTGTATGAGGGATTGGACTGGCTCTCAAACAACATTGCAAACAAGGTAGAATCATGTGATATATCGACATTTTGATTATTCGAATGTGATGATTGATAATTTTGTTAACTTAACTGTGCTTGTCTGACTGCAGGCTTAGATGGCATAACTCCCAAGTGCTCGATTGCAATGAGTGCTGGAATACAGAGTCTATATTTGTTTTGTATTCTGGATGTTCCACCAGCTCATTTTGTCTTTACCTGTCTTAACATGTTTGTGGTTGCTTGCTTTTGCAAGCTTTTCCGCTTGTTTTCTGTAGCTTCAGAATTTTTCATAAATCTTCGTTTTGTTCATGATGTTATCTAAATAGCATATTTTGTTTTTCAGATAATTTTTTAAGGTAATGAATCTTGAGACTTTTTCCTTCTTTTATCCTAATTGTCTAGTGTTCCACTAAGGAGGTATTTGCTGTGCCAATGGAATTTAGCACGTATGTGTTTAAGCGGTCGGTCAAACCTTGTAAGCAAATGTAGGTATCAGAAAAGGTGGAGCTGGCAGTAGAGGCATCGCTACTTCGCAAGTGGAGACTCGAGAGAGCATTTTTATTTGGTAAATTTTTTGCAGAAATCATCGGTACTGTGCAGTTTATTTTGAGCAGAGGTCCAGTGACCCACGGGAAAGAGAAGAAACGCAGCGTGTGGGTTTATTTGACTTCAGATTGAAAGGGCATTACCCTCTTAAGAAAAAATAGAAAGTACTGGATGCGTTGCCCGTGTAACATTTTTAATTTTAATGGAAAAAAAAGTGATTTTTTAAGGGAAGAAAGGTGATTGGTTAAAAAAATTCAAGCTCTAAATGGCAATTTAAATAATATAAAAACGAACGAAAAAAACAACGAAAAAAAAAAGAATTATATTTAAGCTTATTAGAGTGAACTTTCCAACCTAATTTAATTAAAAAATTCTAACTTGTTATATTATGATTTTGAGTTTATATTATGGTTTTGCGTTCAATTATCAAGTTTAGATATCATCTAATATAATTTCTAATATAATTTTAAATAGTTTAGATATCATCTAATATAATTTTAAATGATAAAAATAATAAAAATTACTAATAGAAAAACTTGTAAAAAACAAAAACAATCAAAAATATATATATATATATATATATATCAGGCTTCAATCCAATAAGGATGAAATTTTAAAAAACAAATTATCCCAAACAAAAAATTTACAATAAAAAAAGTTAAGACAAAAAAAATCATAAGGGTGGGATTGAAAATCATTTGTAATATAATAGATTATTTATGGATTAAAAAATAATAGTGGTGAAATAGAAAAACAAATTGAGGGTTAACCCAATAAAATCAAATCGAAAACATAAGATAAAAAAAATTAAACTGGAAAAATAACAAAACAAAAGTTAAAAACGATAAAAAAATAAAAAACATCAAATTAGAAAAAGAGAAAAAAATAGGGCAAACCTCTTAAAAAAGAATTAAAGTAAGAAAAATAACAAAATAAAAGTTAAAAAATAATTAAAAAATAAAAAATATCAATTTAAAAAATTAAAAAGATAGGGCAAACCTCTTAAATTTGAATTAATCTCTAAAAGTGGTATCCCGTGAAGTTTTTTACTTATATTAAATCAAGAGGCATAATTCTGAAACAATTTAATTTCAAATGATGAAATTAGTAGAAAATATTAATAAAACATTTGCAAACACAAAAAATAAAAGAATGGGAATAAAATTTGATAAAAAAAAAACCAAGGAGGATACAATTTAATGAAAAAAATAAAAAACAATCCCAGATAAAATAAATATCAATTAAAAAAATAAAAACAAAATTTTAAAAGTTACAAGAGGTGAAATTGACAATATCAACAAAAACCAAGCAAATCTAAATAAACATCTTAAATATGATCAACTCTTAAAAAGCTTATAATTTTTAAAACCTTGAATCTAGATTCTATCAAGAAGTTTATTACAAGTCAATTTAAAAATATAAATTTTAAAAACTTGTCAAAGAAAAAACAAAAAAGATAACAAAAAAAATCTCAGGCGAAGTCGACATCCAACCCAAGTCAACAAATTAAACATGTAACCTAAAACATGAAATTGAGATGGCTCTATAAATAGGAAAACTTAAAAAAATACTAGCAAAAAAATGCTTTAAAAAAATTATGAGACTTAACTAAGGCTAATCATTTAATCTATTATCCAGGTCATGAGATTGGAATAACCTCATTAAAGACAAACTTAAAAAAACAAAGAAATAAAATTTTTAATCAAAAAAATATTGAAAGATGAAATTGATTAAAAAAATAAAAAACAATGCAAAAAAAATAATTAAAATAATTAGGACTAAATTTAACAAAAAAAAATCCAATGAAATTAAATATTTAGGGATAAAATTATATATAAAAAAATTTCATTAAGAAAATGATTTAAAATAATGCAAGTAAAAGAATCACAACTAAATTTGACATAAAAATAAATGAAAATAAATGGCTAGAAGTGGAATTGAAGAAAAAAAAATCAATCAAGAGAATGATCCAAAACAAAACAAATAGAAATTAAGAGAATGAAGGCCAAATTTGAAAACAAATTAAAAAAATTAAATAATTAGGAATAAAATAAAAAATAAAAACCAATTAGAAATGATCAATGTAAATAAAATAATTGGAAATAAGAGAAGGTGGATTGAATCAAAAGAAAAAATAAATTGAAGGGCTGATGTGATTTTTTACATGGTCAGCACGTAATCTAAAAAACAAAAGAATGAAAATAAAGAAAGAAAAGAAAAATAATTTTAGATCAAACTACATTTAATGACCATACACGTATGACTTAGAAAGGAAGAGGACATCAAGACAAATCAAATGATATGGTGTAATCACGGTTACAACTATTAAAAATAGTTGCATGCGTCTTAGAAAGCGACTAATGCATGCATCAACAACTTTGTTGTTTTTTTTTATTTGTACAAAACCAATAATGCCATTAAAATTAAATAATAGTAAAAAATAAACTATAATGAAATTACACTCAAGCTCCTAAAGTCAATGATAAAATATATGAATAATAAAGCTGATCTAATAATTCTACTATTTTATAAAATATAAAAACATTAAAACACCCTTACGCATAAGGCATTACAAATTTTACTATGTATTAAAAACATATACGTGTCATGGTGAAAAAAAAAAAACCTACCATCAAAGCTATAATATAACCAAGAGAAAAAATAGTAATTATAATATTACAATGAATAGTAATATGTCTATAAGGATATATTAATATTGCTAAGTGATTAGTTTTTTGGATAACTAGCTATGGACTGTGCATTTTTAGGGGCTCCTTTCTTTTAATAAAAAATATCTGTATAAAAGATGATGTCCAGATATCATAAGGAAGACAATTTTACAACGATAATGGATAAAAGAAGAAAGATTATTTAACAACAGCAATGGATGAAAGATAATAATGTAATTTAATTCTCAACATGAAATTGGGTAAAAAAATCTTAGAAATAGTATCAGTTAACTTGGGTTAGAACTATAAACTTGTAACTCTGATAATTAAAGTTGAGTAAACCGAGTTATTATGTTAAATCTGTGGTATATGTCATGAGATTGAGATAACTCAATAAAAAAATATCACAAAGATCATTTAAAAGAAAAAATATCAATCCAAGTTAAGTTTTCAAACTCATTACTCAGGTTATTAAACTGAAAATACCTTATCTAGAAAAATCATAAAACTCAATTTCCAATCAATCAAATGTTAAAGAATAAAATTACAAAAAAAATTACAAAAAAATAATTAAAAAATAAGGATCAAAATACAAAATACAAAATAATTTTTCTCCTTGATTGAAAGGCGGACCACATTGGAAAAAATCACATATCCCAAATTGAAATTGAATGATGAAATAAAAATTAAATTAAAGTTTTATAAAAGAGCCAAGAACAAAAATTAGATATCAAAAGATTAAGAATTAAGTGGGAATCCCTATAAAATAGAGGATAACTCTATAATTTCAAATGACCAATATAAATTTCAAGAGAAGAAGAGAGAGAAAAAGATTGTTGATGACAAACTATATTGTCAATGACTATATGCGCTACCCAAAAAAAGAGAGGAAATAATGATGCTTCCAATGATGTAGTGGAAATGGGATTTTGGGCAATGAGAAGAGATGTGCGCACCACCTGAAAGATATTGATGCCTTTTATATGTTGGCATAAACACAAAAACACTCACACACATCAAATCACCCTTCTCCTAACCTAATAATAATAATAATGAAAAATCATTGTAAAAATACAAAATTGTCCTATAGTTGCTAGTTTTTTTTTTTCAAAGAGTATTTTAGTTATTTCACTTTGATTTCAAAAGGAGAAATGACTTATTTGTTTTTAATTAATTTAGTAATGACTAATAGATCGTGCAAAAATATTTTAATATTCCCAATAAAAATCTTTCACTTTTTTGTTAGGAAAGGAAAACTATAAAAACATTGTTCACTTCATATTATTCCAATGAAAATTTTCACTAATAGTATAAAGTGTTTTCCATATATGTTTTATCTTTTGCTAATTAGATATGGGCCCACACCATACTGCGGGGCCATATTTCCCTCTTGTAAAAAACAATGTCTAGGTGTCACAAATGTATTTTGAATAAATAAAAAAAACCAACAACTCATATTATAGCTCCAATCGAGTTTAATAAGTTGATTTTGCTTTAATTAGATGATAAAAAAAATAAATGGTAATAGTAAAAAACATTTTTATTAAAAAAAGATTATGATAGCTTGAAAAATATACATTTGAAAGTATGAAAATGGATAAAAATCGAGAAAAAAACACAACTTAAGATAGCGTGATATATATGTAACCCATATAATAAGAAATGAGTCAACTCAAGTTAATTTATAAAATTCATGGCCCAAGTTAGAAGATTAAGATAACCTAATATAAAAAAATTTGAAGAAAATTACAAAGTCAATCACTTGTTTTTTTTTTAAAAAAATAATGATGACAATAAAATAAGCAAAAAAGCTTGTTGATCCATGTTAATTTTTTAAACTCGTGACTCGTGTTATTAAACCAAAAGTAGCATATATGAAAAAACTACGAAGTCCAATCCTTAGCAAATCAAATACTTAAAAAAAAAATCTAAAATTAAAAATTAAAATTAAAAGATCAGGGTGAAAATTCAAATAAAAAATAAAACTAAGGGAAAGTACAAATTCTTGTTTTATAATTTGTTTTATTTTTTTGTTTTTTGTAAGCTTATTTTGATTTTATTATCCACATTGTGGTTAACTCAGGTTGACTCAAGTGTTTTTTATTATTTTTTAATTAATTTTGTTTTTAGTTTTATCCTTTAATATTAGGTTAGTTGGGAATTGGGCTTCATA